AAATAAGAGAAAGGTTTCACCCCTAAACCACACCGCAAAACACCTACAGCACCTCTTACCCAGCTCTCTTTCACATTAAATCCATATATACTGCTTTTGCTATAGTTAATCCTCAAACCTGACATTATCTCAAACCATCTTAGAATAGCTTTTACCATAAAAACATTTTCACTGGCAGCTCGTCCCAAGATAACCGTATCATCTGCGAATTGAAGTAAAGAAACCGTCAGCCCCCTTTTGCCAATCTCTATTCCCTGTAACAATCCTTCAATCTCTGCTTTTTTAACCAATCCATTTAACCCCTCCATGATCATCAAAAATAGAAATGGGGACAAAGGATCTCCTTGCCTCAACCCTTTCTCCAGATCAAACTCCTCCGTTGGGCTGCCATTTACCAGCATCGAACACCGTGTAGTCGAGAGACACTCCTTGATCCACCCCCTCCATTTGGCTCCAAACCCAAATCTATCCATCATCCAATCCAGATATGACCAGTTGACACAATCATACGCTTTTTGAAAGTCTGCCTTAAAAACAAAAGCTGGTGTCTTCCTACTCCGAACCTCATCCACCACTTCGTTTAAAACCAGGACACTGTCAACTAGTTGTCTTCCCCCAACAAAAGCAGATTGTGTTTCACTAATGATCTCTGACATTACATTTTTAAGCCTATTAGCTAACACCTTTGACAATAATTTGTACACACACCCTATCAAACTAATAGGCCTAAAGTCCTTCAATTCCTTAGTGTTCAGCTTTTTTGGGATTAATGTAAGGAAGGAAGAATTCAGCCCTTTCACTAGCTTGCATCTTTGATGGAATTCACAAAAAAATTCAACAAAATCATCCTTAATACTATTCCAGAAGAATTTAATAAAGTTAAAATTATACCCGTCAGGCCCCGGGGCTTTACTTCCATCACAGCTCTTCAATCCTTCTTCAATCTCCTCAACAGTAAAGGGTCTCTCAAGCCATTTCATCTGCTCTTCAGAAATTCTCTTGAATTCAATATTTGTGGGCTTGGGCCGATCCCAAGACTCTTCTTGAAACGCCTTTCGGAAATAAGACATCACCTCTTTTTTAACCATAACTGGTTCTTCTACCCAGTGACCATCACTCGTTATTCCCTGGATACTATTCTGTGCCTTTCTCCCGTTTGCAACCTTGTGGAAGTACCTGGTATTCTGGTCCCCCAATTTAACCCAATCACTTCTGGATTTTTGCTTCCATATAGACTCTCTCATCCTCAACATATCCCATATCTGCTGAAACCCTTCTTTCCTTTGTTTCACCTCACTTCCCTCCAGTTCCACCACTTCATTTTTCAGATCAATCCTTTCAACTTTTTCTGCGACATTGTTGAATTGAGTTTCCATGTTCCCAAACACCTCCTTATTCCATCCTTTTAGAAATTCTTTTAGTCTCTTTAGTTTCTGCAAGCATCTGTATCCAGCATGCCCTTCAACATTTAAATCCTTCCATTTGTCTTCCACTGCCTTCCTAAATTGTGGGTGCTGTTGCCATGCATCAAACACTCGAAAAGGCTTCGGTCCCCAATCTGCTGCTGTTGTTTTGACTATAATCGGACAATGATCTGACACAGTCCTCTTCAATCCTTGCTGCACCCATTCCTTTCCCAAATTGTACATCTCATCCGACATCAAAACCCTGTCTAACCGACTCATAGACGATCCGTCCGGCCTATACCACGTGAAACATCTATTAGCCAGCTTTAGATCCACCAAACCAGCTGATACAATAAATTCATCAAACTCCCTCATTTCCATCTTCTCCCCTGTCTTACCCTTCTTTTCATTTGCACACCTAACAGCGTTAAAATCTCCAGCAAACAGCCATCGACCTTCCTCCTCCTCTATCATATGCCGAAGATCTTCCCACAACTTGAGTTTCTTTTTTCTGTCATTTGGTGCATATACATTCACCAAATTACATTTTAACTTCTGAGATCCCCATTCACCAGAAATACCCACAAAACCATCCCCTGAAAACTCCCTTTGTTTCACAAATTCCCCCCTATTCCAAACACATAACAACCCTCCAGATGCTCCTACCGATTCCTTCATCACCCAATCAAATTCATCCGAATACCACAGCATTTTACATAAATTCCCCTGCAACCTCTCTAATTTTGTCTCCTGCAAAAAGACTACATCCGGTCGTTCAGCTTTGACCATTTTACTCACCTCCTTCCTCTTCAACACACTCCCTAATCCCCTCACATTAAATGATATTAATTTCATAAAGACATAAAATAAAACTCACGCCCACCTTTACCAAATCACCTCTGCTGTTTCTAACCCTTCCCCTGACCTTCATCCCTCACCTCCAACTCCATTAATTTTGACTGAACTTCCTCTTCATTTTCACCCACTTCTATACCCAAGCGTTTGCCTAAATTAAAAATCCTTCTTACCTCCTGAATGTTCATCTCCCTGCGTATCACTTTATTCCTGTGAGCTATGCACCCGTCAGACAATGAAAAGCTCCCAGCCCGTTGATCTTGCACCTCCGCCTGGTTCTGTACTTTCTGGTTTTCTTCCTGGTTTCGGTGCTGTCTTTGCATATCTATTTCTGAGCTTCCTTGCGCCCTCACTTCGCCGCCTGCGTGTTTCTCTTGTGGGTAGCAGGCTTTCAGTTCTTTCCTTTTTTTTTCTCTCGAATCCCTAGTTCCCAATTTGATTCCTTTATACAAAATCCCCCCAGAAGTCCCCTGCTCTGCACCCAAATTACCGATATTGTTCCTTGGCCCATTCCCCGTTTCCCTTGTTTCCTGCACTTGGGAAATACTCACATTC